TATCTATATTAGGTATATAGATTAAAAAAAAATTTGTAGCTTTTGTTTATAAGTACAAACTTGATTTATGGAGTATTTTTTGAGTGGATGAATAAATTGTCTGAAAAGTTTTACAAACAAAATTGTGTAACAGCATTGTTTTTCAGATCTTTATTGTTTATGGCTTTTGTCAGATGACATCTATAAAATTATTAAAGAATCACCATAGTAGATTAGCATTAAAAATTTAAAGATATGGCAGGGTGCAGTTGCTCACGCTTGTAATCCTATTACTTTGGGAGGCCGAGGCAGGCGGATCACAAGGTCAGGCGTTTGAGACCAGCCTGACCAACACAGCGAAACCTTGTCTCTACTAAAAATACAAAAATTAGCTGTGTGTGGTGGCGGGTGCCTGTAATCCCAGCTACTTAGGAGGCTGAGGCAGGAGAATCGCTTGAACCTGGGAGACGGAGGTTGCAGTGAGCTGAGATGCACCACTCCACTCCAGCCTGGGCAACAGAGCTAGATTCCATTTCAAAAAAAAAAAAAATTTAAAGATACTTTTGTTACTAACAAGGTAAAACTAATCTTTTAGAAGTAAAGCTCATTTTAATTTTTTTTTTTTTTTTTTTTTTTTGAGATAGAGTTTTGCTCTTGTTGCCCACTGGAGTGCAGTAGTGAGACCTCGGCTCACCACAACCTCTGCCACCTGGGTTCAAGTGATTCTCCTGCCTCAGCCTCCTGAGTAGCTGGGATTACAGGCATGCACCACTATGCCCAACTGACTTTGTATTTTTAGTAGAGATGGGATTTCTCCATGTTGGTCAAGCTGGTCTTGAACTCCCGACCTCAGCCTCCCAAAGTGTTGCGATTACAAGTGTGAGCCACTGCACCTGGCTTCAGTTTTTGAAATAAGCTAATTTTAGTTTTTAAAGTGAGGAACCTGCAGCAGTTCTCACAAGAATTAAGAAATAGTCATACATTTTGACAGCTCTTTTCACAGTTATGTAAAACACCTTATCAAGAATAATAAAAGCAAAATGTATTAATTAAATATATTTACATAAAAGGAGTGAAAGCATTCGTTTACAGTTATAAGAGTTTTTTGTTTTTGTTTTTATTTTGGAGTCTTGCTTTGTCATTCAGGCTGGAGTGCAATGGCGCGAGATCTCGGCTCACTGCAACCTCCGCCTCCAGATTCAAGCAATTCTCCTGCCTTAGCCTCCTTTGTACTTTTCGTAGAGACAGGGTTTCACTGTGTTAGGCTGGTGTTGAACTCCTGACCTCATGATCCACCCGCCTTGGCCTCCCAAAGTGCTGGGATTACAGGTGTGATCCACTGTGCTCGGCCTTACACTTGTAAGTTTCTATAGCTTTCATCAGAAAATTTAGTCAAAATATTAACGGTGAAAATCTAGTGGGTTTTTTTTTTTTTTTTTTTTGAGACATAGTCTTGCTCTGTCACCAGGCGCCAGGCTGGAGTGCAGTGGCGTGAGCTCAGCTGACTGCAACCTCTGCCTCCTGGGTTCAAGCAGTGCTTCTGCCTCAGTCTCCCAAGTACCTGGGACTACAGGCACGCACCACCACACCCAGCAATTTTTTTTTTTTTTTAGTAGAGACGGGGTTTCACCGTGTTGGCCAGGATGGTCTCGATCTCTTGACCTTGTGATCCGCCTGCCTCGGCCTCCCAAACTGCTGGGATTACCTGCGTGAGCCATTGCGCCCGGCCTATTTTTTTTTTTTTTTTTTTGATTGAAAAAGTTTTTCTTTTCTATACTCCAACTGACACCATATCTAGTATGGTTTTGACTTTTATTTTTATTATGATTGTTGGAAACTGGTTTATAACATCGGGAAAAAATCTACACTGAGACAGTAGATTACTCAGCAAGGCAGGGTTACTTCCTGCAGGAAGGGTGCAACTCCCCGGCGGTCTTGCCACGAGAGCACACCTGAACAAGGGAGACAGGGACATTTAGAACTTTCATGACCTGACGCAGTTGCCCTAATGCTATGTCCAGTTTCCATTGGCTGGAACCGGATCTCACATTCTATGCTTGACCTGACTGGCTAAAAACTTGGAAATTTTCTAAAGAGGTAAAGGCAGAGGAGAACAAAGCAAAAGAGGAAGTAACTTGAGGAATGCTTAGAGAAGCGATAACATTTGAAAATAAGGAAGGGGAATAAGCTATGACCTAAGACTTGCCTGGGCTTGTCTAGGCATGTCAGGGCAAATATCTGGGTTAAAGTGTAAGAACTAAGAACATGGGATGCACTTATTTCGTTATTATGACTAACAGCTACTTTGAGATTATTAGCAAAAGCTTTAAACTAACCTTTGAAGAAACTGTTGTTTATTCCTAATGAACTAGGAGGAAAGCTTTGAAGGGGAACCTTTTATTTATTCTTATTTCCTACAATAATAATTTAGAAAGAAGAACCTAATAAATTTTTAAAGTAAAAGACAATATTACTCTGGACAAGCAAGGCAGAGAATGGAGAGGACTGCACTACAAAGAAGAATTATTAGTTGAGTGTGGTGGCTTATCCCTGTAATCCCAGTGCTTCGGGAGACTGAGATGGGTGAATCACTTAAGGCTGGGAGTTTAAGATAAGCCTGGGCAACATAGTGAGACTCTGTCTCTACAACAACAAAAAAGCTAGGTATGGTGGTGTGTGCCTGTATTCTTAGCTGCTTGGGAGGCTGAGGCAGGAGGATGAGTCCAGGAGTTCTAGCCTGCAGTGAGCTACTGAGACCAGTGCGGCCATAGAGACCCCCACCCAGGCAGCGCTGAAGGAATTGAGAAGCAGACACCCAGATAGAAAAGCAAAGTGGGTCTCTTGGGGGGTGGGGTGGGGGGGGGCAACAAACAGCCTTCAGAGCTGAGAGTCTCAGGGGCTGACAGCATTCTGAGCTGAGGGCCCCAAGCAGACTCTGACCCACGCATTTGTTCTCTCTGAACAGTTGATTGTTGTTAACAAACACATGTTTGGTATTTTCTCATAAAATATACCAAGTAGGCAGCTGGTGCCCACTTACCACTGATCACAGACAAACTAAAAAGTATTCTCCACAGGGAACCACAGGGGCAGGGTCAGATATCCCGCGCTTAAAGAATTGTTTTAACTGGTGTATGTTATTTATATATTGTCCTGCCACTTTAGAATGTCCCAAGTAGTTTTCTGCTTGGGGCGGGGGGCGGCGGCGGCGGGTTTCCCTTGCCATCCTTCTTCTTAGCAAACAATATATTTTATCATACACTCAGCATTTCTCAGCAATCATATAGATAGCATTTATCAACAGTGAGCGATTATTAAAATTAAGAGTAAACTCTTTATTTTAGGTAAGTTTTTGTATTTATATGAAGTTATATGATTAGAGATGTTTACCTAAGTTTGTAATTTAGTAAATCAAGTAAAATCAAAGATGGTACATTTTAATTCCATGCAGTGTGCTTTTGCTGGCAGAAGGACTCTAATTTTATTCATATTATTAATCTTTGTTTAGAAATAGATCTGAATTTAAGGTGTATAGGGCAAAGTGAATTGTAAAAAAAAATCAGATTTTTTGGTCACTTTTTGTCATGACAACAAAAAATCACTTTTGTTGTCGTCGTTGTTGAGACAGGGTATCACTGTTGCCAAGGCTGGAATGCAAGGGTGTCATCTTGGCTCACTGCATACAACCTCTGCCTGGTGGTCTCAAGCGATCCTCCTACCTCAGCCTCCTAAATAGCTGGGACTGCAGGCATGCTCTACAATGGCCAGCTAATTTTTGTTTTCTTTGTAGATGCAGGTTTCGCCATGTTGCCCAGGCTGGTCTTGAACTCCTGGACTCAAGTAATCTGCCCATCTCAGCCTCCCAAAGTGCTGGGATTAGAGACGTGAAACACCTTGCCTGGCCAAAATCAGTTATTTCTAATATAGAAATAATTTAATAAGATGCATTATTTTCATTTGTTTATAGTTTGTGCTGTGTGATAAATTTAATGTTTCTTAATGTAGTTGTTCCTATTATAGGACAAAATGGGTTCTAATTGACTTCAGTGTTCTATCACTTTTTTTTTTTGACATTATTATGTTTTGAGACGGACTTTCACTCTTGTTGTTTAGGCTGGAGTGTAATGGTGCGATCTCAGCTCACTGTAATAACCTTTGCTTCCTGGGTTCAAGCGATTATCCTGCCTCAGCCTCTCCAGTTGGTTGGATTACAGGTGTGTGCCACTGCACCTGGCTAATTTTTTGTATTTTTAGTAGAAACAGGGATTTACCATGTTAGCCAGGCTGGTCTTGAACTCCTGACCTCAAGTGATCTACCTGCCTCGACCTCCCAAATTGCTGGGATTACAGGCGTGAACCACTGCATCCAGTCTCAACATCATTGTTTTTTCGAGACAGAGTCTTTCTGTCACCCAGGCTGGAGTGCAGCGGTGCAATCTTGGCCTACTGCAACCTCCACCTCCTGGGTTCAACTGATTCTCCTGCCTCAGCCTCCCCAGTAGCTGGGATTACAGGTGCCTGTCACCACGCCTGGCTAGTTTTTGTATTTTTAGTAGAGACGGGGTTTCACTGTGTTGGTCAGGCTAGTCTCAACTCAGCCTCAGGTGATCCACCTGCCTGACCTCCTAAAGTGTTGGGATTACAGGCGTAAGCCACCATGTCCAGCCAAGATTGGAATTCTTGTGTTTTTTAAAATTATGTTTCCTTTTATGTTAATTGTGACATATTCAATTGCAAGTTTTAATTTTCTATTGAAATTCTTAAAGGAACATGAAACGACCTTCTAAAATTCTTTGGTTTGGTGCTGTATTACCATAATTACATTAGAATCCCGTTGATGAGCATTTCACTATTTACCTAGTGGGCTGTAACTCCTTCTCATATAGCTTTTTTTTTTTTTTTTTTTTTAAATTATTTCTTTAGTTTTTAGAACAAGTTTAAAATATTTTTTTAATGTCTAACCATAAAAAAAGGGTTTTTCCACTTTAAATAACAGATTTTTCTTTCTTTTAACCTAATAGTGTGCTTGCCTAAACTGGATTTGAAGCGATTTAAACTGCCGGAGATCTGCCACTTTATAATATCACAATTGGAAAGAAGCAGATTTTCAAATAATGGAAGAGTCTAAGATCTTAAAAAGTGAAAATCATGAACCAAAGAAGAATGTTATTTGTGAAGAAAGCAAAGCAGTTCAAGTTATAGCTAATCAAATGTTGAAAGCTAGAAATGATAAATCCATAAAAGAAATTGGGAACAGCTCTCCAAATAGGAGTAGTAGTAAAAAAAATAAGCAAAATGATATGTGTATAGAAAAAACAGAAGTTAAATCATGTAAAGTAAATGCAGTCAACCTTCCCGGCCCTAAAGATTTGGGGGTAGTCCTTCGAGATCAAAGTCATTGCAAAGCAAAAAAATTTCCTAATTCACCAGTGAAAGCCGAAAAGGCACCCATTTCACAGGCAAAATTAGAAAAGGCAACCAGTTTACAGGCAAAAGCAGAAAAATCACTGAAGTCACCTAATTCAGTGAAAGCAGAAAAAGCAACCAGTTCTCAGATGAAGTCAGAAAAGGCACTGAGTTCACCAGCAGAAGCAGAAAAGGGACCCAGTTTACTATTGAAAGACATGAGACAGAAGACAGAATTACAACAGATTGGGAAAAAAATTCCAAGCTCCTTTACTTCTGTGGACAAAGTGAATATTGAAGCTGTAGAGGGAGAAAAATATGCTCTGCAAAACTCACCACAATCTCAGAAACAACAAACATGTACAGGTAATACTGGTGATTCTGATGATAGTGCTTCAGGAATTGAAGATGTATCGGACGATTTGAGTAAGTACAAATTAGATTATTCCACAAGTCATTTTTTGGAGGAATTTTTTGTATATTAATGTTCCTTAGATTATCCCTGGTTTAACCATTTTAATTACAAAAAACCATGGTTGTACATAATTTTTAGCACTTTTTTCCCTCCATATGAAAACATTCAAATTAATGCTATTTGAATTAGTGGTTTCTTATTAGATTGATCCTTGGTGAAACTAAAAAAAACCTTTTCATTTATTATGGTAGGTACAAAGACTGAGCAAATAATAATTTAGTGTCTTTAGTTGACACACATGTGCTCATACACATACACAGTCTGTTTAACTCGTCTTGATGATGTATTGCTCATTCATTTACCAAATATATATGCATTAAAATCCAATGCATATATATTTGGTAA